GATTAGATTAGATTAAATCTTCAGTTCTGACGCGCAACAGGCAGCCAACACCAGGGTGTGATAAACTCACACATCTGCAATGATAATTATCCTAACAATACTCCTAATGTTTATGACTTTATCGTCAAAAATGTTCCGACTTTATTCTCCTAACCTTGCAGCTTTATTTTCACAATGTTTATGACTTGTTCAGAGTGTCTGAAGGCCCTGGGCCGCCTGGAGGAGGCGGCGGACAGCTACAGCAAGGTGGTGGAGATGGCGCCGCTGCACCTGGAGGCCCGGCTGTCTCTGGCCACGCTGCAGCAGCAGCTGGGGCGGATGGACTGCGCTCTGAAGGCGCTGGAGCCCATGTATGACAGCGACACGCTGGCGCAGGACTCGTCCGCCGCCCAGAAGGTCCGTCCCTCTCAAACTTGGCTCCGCCTTTCCCGTCCCCTCGGCCATTCTGACCCCTGTCGCCATCGCAGGAGCTGAAGCTGCTGCTGCACCGGTCCACGCTGCTGAAGACGCAGGGCCAGATGGAGGACTACCTGGACGCCATGATCACCATGATCTCCATGCTGCTGAAGGTAGATCCCCATCCACGCCACCTACCTCCCCCCATGGCGTCCGCAGCATCCTGACCCTGTTTGTTTTACAGGTCGCCATGCAGCGAGCCAAGGTGTGTGTCCGCTCCGTGACGCTGGAAGGAAGGAGCCACCTGAGGCTGGTGAAGGTTCAGGACTTGCAGCCGGAGATCGCCGACCACGAGACCGCCTACCTGGACAACATGTGTAGGTAGAAGTGGACCGTAGGGACATCCAAACGCCTCCACAGCGTAAACTAGACCCCTCTGATTTGGCTCACATCCCATCATGCTTTCATACCTCAGCGGGACCAGATAGTTCATGTACGAAAAGGATCCGCTCAGACTCAGTTGGATGTATTCTAGTTCTACACTGCAAAAACATCTAGAAACAAGTCGTCATTTCTTAAATGAAGTATATTTAGGGCTAATTTGTGTCGTTAAATAAGATGATCCTCCAATAGAAGTGTTTGTTGGTCAAACTACTCTGCAAAAATGAGTACAATGTCTTAAATTAGGTATATTTGGCCTTTATTTGAGCAACTAAATAAGATTATATGCCAGTAGAATATTTTTACTCTTAAAATAAGATAATTAGATAATATATACTTGAAATAAGACAATGCAATTGTTTTTCTTTTTTTTCTTATTCTAAAGGTGTTTAAATGTCTTGTTCCATTGGCAAAGTGTCTCACCTCCTCAGTTCAAGAAACAATTACTTATTTAGATTAACATTTTTCGCAGCGTTCTTATCTGTGGGCTAAAAATGGTCGTCTGAGGTTCACTGTTTTATTGAAGAGAAGAAGAAGCAGGAGTTAATTCGCAAACGACGGGAATTATAGCGTGCGACAGAGTATCGGGGCCAGCCTAGAGATTTATTTATTTGTTTTTT